GGGTTTGGGGTTTAGGGTTTTGATTCTTATGGTTTCCCTAGGTAGGCCTTTGGGATATTTTGTATTTTCCCTTATTGGGCTTATGAGGACCCTATTTACTACTATTTTTCAGAGGCTTTAAAGGGCCAACCAGTTTCCTGCTTAGTTGAAAGGTTGCGATTGCTTTGTCATAGGGATAGTTCTCTACATTAGGATCCCTGTTCGGTCCCCAATATAGTACGGCACCATTATAAACAAGACCCTAAAAGGGACCATATTTTCGAGAGCTACCCGCAAGGTTTTCTATTGGGATTTGGAATGTAGAGCTTTTTGCTTTCAAGGGATCTCTAAGAGTTAGTGAAGGTTACGGGTACTTAGGTTTCGGCTTCGTGGCATAGGTGATTTAGGGTGGGTTTCGGGGTATGTAGGGTATCTTGGAGGGTGGAAGGCCGAGGATTATGGGCTTTGTTGTTGTTGTTGGGGTGCATCATGTAGGTCTTCTTGGTAGCTGAGTTACTACACTTTATAAACTTTTGGGGATAATATGATCTCTTACCCTATAGAACCAAAAGTGTACACTTTTTTTGCTTATGAAACTCAACAACTAAGTCTTATTAGTCGAGACCCCTCCACCTAGCCCGAAGGGTTTGCGATTCAGGGGTTCGGCCCTAGACTTGATGATATAAAATCCTGCAGTACCCATAAAAAGGCATATACCCATAATTCCCACAGTCTAGAGTCCTCAAGGTAATGCAGGATCTATATCATCAACAGTAGGGCTTACGTAGGGTTATGGCTTAGGACTCTTAGCCGATATCCTAAAGCCATTAAAGCCGGAAGCCCGAAAGCCCCAAACCTCAAACCCCTACAGCCCCCCAAAGCTCAAAGCCCCCAACACCCTACACGCCCGCCACCTGCCACAGCCTTACTCATGTATGTGTGTGTGTGTAGATATATATATATATATGACTCTATGCATGCATGTCTGTGAGTATGTCTGTCATTATGAATGTATGTGTATATGTTTCCATGCATGCATGCAGGCAGGTAGGTAGGTAGGTAGGTAGGTATGTAAGTGTTTATGTGCGTGTGAAGTGCGCGTGTGTGTGTGTGTCTCTGTGGGTCTCTGTGTGTCTCTGTGTGTGTCTGTGCGTGTCTGTGTGTGTCTCTCTGTGTGTGTGTGTGTGTCTGTGTGTCTCTGTGTCTGTGTGTGTGTTTGTTTCCTCAAGGCGAATGGAGTGGCTGAAGCGAGAGGGCCGCTGCAAGCGTGTGGGGGGCCTTGTCCGTTCTCACGGTGGTGCAGGGGGGGGTTTGGGGGGGGTTGTTTAGGGCTAAGGGTTCAGGAAGTTTGGGGGTTTCGCGTTGCGAGACATTGGGCTCTAGGGGTCTTCTGCTCTGTGGTGTCGGGTTTCGTGTTATTGGGTGGTTAGGATGTTGGATTTCCAGGCCTTAGCTTTAGGATGTGTGCGTTCAGTTTGACATGGCTACCCCTGTACATGAGCAAAACCCGAAAAGACCCGCACCCACCCAGAATAAGGAGCCAACACCCAAGAATAAGGTCGGAAGAAGTGGCAATACTGTTGATGATCTAAATCCTGCAGTACCTTAAGGACCCGAAACTATGGGAGTTATGGGTATATTCCTTAGTATGGGTAATGCAGGATTTATATCATCAACCATACTACCCCTTAAGGTCCGCGTGTAGAGTTTTCCTGTTATGTATACCCCCAAGGCTCCAAACCGAAGATCCCTCTGGTAACTCGACAAGGCCCGGCCCCAGAACGCCGCGGAGCCTCTAAAGCCTTCAACGCCCAGTCTGCGTTCCTAAAACGTTGAAAAACAAATCCAGGAGCAGAGGTACCCCGGTTTAGGGTTTAGGGTTTAGGGTTTTGGGATTTGGGGTTTAGGGTTCAGGGTTTAGCCCCGTAAAGTCCGAAACCATTCAAGCGCCCAAAAACGGTCACTGAGGACTTCATCGAGGGCGTGGATGTGGTTGCCTTAGAATTGGGTTCGAGCTTGGCTAGGGGCTTTCTGATGTAAGAACATCCGCTACGAGCGCGCCAACAGGGTTTTGGGGTTTAGGTGATTGGAATCGTAATTGCAGTGTGGAAGCCCTAAAACCCTAAGCCCTAAACCCTAAAACCCTAAGCCCTAAACCCTGTTTCTGTAGTGGAGGGCCAAACGGTCGGTGTGCTCGTGCAGTGAGAGAGAGTGCACATGTCCACCTTAAAAAAAACCCTGTAAGCCTTAAAGCCCTAAGCCCTAAAACCAAAAAGCCCTAAAGCCCTAAACCCTAAACCTTTTTTGGTGTTCTTCAACCTCCCAACAGCTTTGATCTTCCCGTGCCTTTGGTGCCTTATGCCAGGATCGGGGGTTAGGCTTTCGGGCAGAGTTGGGGTTTAGGGCTTGGGGCAGCGTTGGGGTTCAGGGTTTAGGGCAGGGTTGGGGTCTAGGAGTCGTCTGCATTCAAGTCTGAACTTCAGGCCGTAATGTAGATGTCTGAATGATTAGAAAGAAACAAGGTCCGTTGTCATTCGTCTGTGATTACACAATAGTCTGCCTGCATACCCTATTCTTCTTGAAGCCCTAAACCCTAAACCCTAAACCCTAAACTTGTTGTTCTTTTCCCTGTATTCTGCGACCTTTTGTGTAAGCTATGGGCGTGAGGTTGGCAAGTTTGAGGGCTCAGCTCCAGCTTTTCTGCGACGTTTGCTCGAAACTCCCCAAACTAGGGTTTAGGGTTTAGGGCTTAGGGCTGGCTTAGGGCTTAGGATTTAGAGTTTAGGGTTTAGGGTTCTTGGTGTGGTGGTGTTGATGTTGAAGGTCTCTAGGGAGACATCTGGCACTGCCCCTTTGCGTAAGACTCCGGTGACTGAGGGGCCCGCCCCTGACTCATGCAAAGGAGAAATGCACGCAGCCCCAAAGCTTGTCTTCCTGTGCTCAGGGGACCTAGCGAAACGTACACATTGGTAAATGAACCCCCCCTTTCAGCACAAAATTTAAAGGAGAAGAAGCTATTGCTATGGTCATTCAAGATGTAGACCTGAATACACTCCCCTGCTCTGGCAACAAGGGTTAAATCGAATCTGAGTATCAAGGCTTCGACAGTCCACATCGTACAGCATAAAGACACTATGAAACCCATATCAACCCCTTGTAAAGTACCATAAAATTTAAAAACCCTCACGAAACCCTAAACCTTGAATCCCTAAACCCTAAATGGCTAACTCGCTAGATCCTAAACCCTAAACCCGAGACCCTGAACCCCCAATCCCTCAACCCTGAACCCCTAAATCCTGAACCCTAAACCTTACAAAAGCCGTTCTCAGGTTTTGTCGGACCCCATCTTGTTCGATCTGAAGGTCAAGCACAACAGTGCCGCGCGGGCGCGGCACACAAAGCCAGAGGGCTTAGGGTTTAGGAGTTTAGGGCTTTGGGCTTTATGAGTTTAGGGCTTAGGGTTTCGGAGCTTAGGGCTTGGGGTTTGGGAGTTTTGGGCTTGGGGCTTCGGCGTGTATCGTTCAGGATCAGGCAGGGAGCGTGTCTGCTGCATCGACAATCTCTACCCATAGGCTCCGTAGTAGTCTCCTTTTGGGGATTACCTTATAGAATCCTATTTATAGACCACAAAGAGGAGCTTATAGAATCCTAAATATAGACCACAAAGAGGAGCCAGAATGGAGCCTCTGGGTAGATCAACTCATGGACCAAAAGTCACCTGGCTCAATCCGAATAGCCCTGAATGCCCTGCAACCCGAAACCCTAAACCCTATCAGCCCTAAACCCTAAACCCTAAGCCCTTATAAACCGTAAGCCCTAAACCCTAAGCCCTAAACCCTAAACCCTAAACACGAAACCCTAAACTCTAAACCCTAAACCCCATAAACCCTAAACCTTAAACCCAAAGCCCTATAACCCTAAACGCCTAGAGCAGTTGCTTAGGAGCAGTTTGGAGACGGCTTTGGGGTCTCGGGTTCCAAGTTTGAGGCTCTTGTAGGGTACCTTTACACCTACCAAAATACGGTTGATGACCTTAAGGACCCTAAACTATGGGTTTGGGTTTAGGGTTTAGGGTTTAGGGTTTACGGGTTTAGGGTTTAGGGTCCTACGGTTGATGGTATACATCCTGCATTACCCATAATAAGGAATAATACCATAACTCCCATAGTTTAGGGTCGCGAAGGTAATGCAGGATTTAGATCATCCACAGTAGCTCTTGTAGTCACTCTTACATAACCTTTGCTGCTACAGCAATACACCCTTATCGTAACCGTGAATCCCAAGCCCTACAGAAGGTTGACCATGTCTGACTGCCCGCCCATGGTGCACGTTTGGAAAGCTTCCGGGGATCAAGTGGCTACGTTATCACTGGCAGATGTTGGCAGTGTGCGTGCACTGAAGCAGCGCTTGCAGAAGCTTTGCGAAGTGTCACGGTTCAGGCTCCTATAGAATTAGGGAGACCCTTTAAAAGGGGGCCTTATTGAGAGGGTCTGTCTCCCCCCATAATGATAACTCTTGCAGGCAAAGACTGCTCCTTCATGGAGAAACTTTGGCTGATGAGGCTCAGCTTGCCTCGTCGTCAGGGGCCCTTGACCTACAGCTGGTGCTGTTGCCCTTTGTCTCCACGGACGTCTGGGACGTTCACCACCTCACGAACAAGGTTGCGACGGGCTCGGAAAGACAGGTCGAGGAGATCTTGTCGCGACCGCAAGATCCCAACCTCTTGGACATCTGGGGTAACATGACGCCCCTGATCGCGGCGTCCCTGCGGAATCGGCCTGGAATGGCCCGCCTGCTGCTGGAGGCTGGCGCAGAGGTGAACTTTGTCGACGACCTCGGCAAGAGTCCGCTGAGCATCGCGTGCGAGTCGTCTGCTGGGACAGAGATGGTGGAGATTCTTTTGAATGCCAGAGCTGATACCGAACGATGCGATGTCTCCTCAAGGACACCTCTTTGGTTCGCAGCCTTCGAAGGTCATGCCGGCATCGTGAAGCTCTTGCTCAGCTGCAGGGCAAGAACCGATACTCTGGATGACAACGGTGGCACACCTCTGCTGGTCGCTTCGCAACGTGGCTTCGGGGAAGTAGTTCGCTTGCTTGTAGAGGCTGGGGCAGACAAGAGAGCAGTCGACAATGACGGCTACTCCCCCGTCGCAAGTGCCCAGAAGTATGGCCATGTAGACATCGTCCGCATGCTTGCAGATGAGAGCAACCAGAGCTCCGTGCTCTCTGACAGCTCGCGCAGGCCTCGCAAGAGACCTGCAGCCGTGCTCAAGAGGCCAGCGAAAGCGAAACGCCAGCCAGCTGCAGACGCCCGACAAGTTTTGAAAATGGTAGTCGAGCGGGCCTCTCACGCAGGGTTGTTCTAGATCCGCATCCCCTCAAGACCTGAAGCTGTTGCCTTACCTTTTTCAGGTCGCAGGGAGGCCTTGCCCTACAAGAAATGGGACCTGGACAGGTTCCCTGTGTGGTTCAAAAGCTTAAACGACCACCGCATTCTGGCCCCTTTGCTGCAGCACTGATAGAGGAATCGCGTTGACAGTGATGGGGAGAACGGTCGAGCAGCAACAATCCTAAACTCCAAGCCCCAATCATTAGCGCCTGAACCCTATCATCGTCGTCAGCAGAGTCGCAACACCCCCGTAGGTAGCCTGAGTGTGTAAGTCCTCAGCCCTGCATCGCCATCCTCAAACCCAGTAAACCCCTAAAAGCCCAAGCCTAGGTGCGTAAGCCCTCAGGCCCGAACCCCTAAACCCCCAATCACAAAGCCGCAACCAAAAAAGCCATAAACCGTTTGCCAAAGCCTCAACCCGAAAGGATACAGGAATAGCTAGTAAGAGTATCCCCACCTACGCGCCAGAACCCTATTCTTGTCACCGGCGTTCCCAAACACACAAGCTTGAGTAACTGGCAATACGATTCCTTAGGGTACATTATTATACTCAAAGTATAGTATACCCGAAGACTCTGCTGAAATTATTAAGGCCTCTACAAGTATGGAGTATAAAAAACCCTAAACCTTGGATAGTACCAGTTGGGAAATATTCACACTATGGCTGTATAAGGCCCTTCATAGTAAGTAGCCCTATTATAGACTGTTACTGTATGGGGGCAGTACCCAACCTAAACCCTAAACCCTTGTAGTACTCCTTATCGAACCAGAGAGAGGCAGCTCTAGGACGCTAGCCTTCTCAGATTTGGGCACATCTCGAGGCTAAATCGGCCACCCCGAAGACGGCCGCTCTACCCTCAACACCAGGAACATCAAAGAGGCCCCCCGCGCGCGCGCGCGCACCATGCGGTTGTAAGGGGTCTAAGGAGTTCAAGCTTTGGGCTTTGGGGTTTGGCAACCTGCTTTTCGGATCGGTTTGTGGTTGGGTTTTGGGCGTGAACCCTAAACCATAAACCCTCAACCCTAAACCCTAAACCCGTTTCCCCAAACCCTCAACCCTAAACCCTAAACCCTACACCAAGCTTTGAGAAGGTGAGGTTCCGCGGAGTCGAATCTGTGTTACCCAAGCTGGACTCTAATGTAACGTCTCTCTTGCCGGATCTGACGCTTTACCCCTAAATAAAGCCACCACATATGAATATGGTTTCACCTCGAGGCCTCAGACTAAAGACAAGGGCCGTGGAAGCGTGAAATTGTATTTCCGAAATCAAATCATGTCCTAACCCCAAGCCGTTCTACCAGACGCCCTAAAACTCTACAGCCCCAATCCCTAAACCCATAACCCCTAAAGCCCTAAACCCTAAATTCTAAAACTCTAAGAGTTTTAGAGTTTGGGGTTTAGGGTTTTAGGGTTTAGGGTTAGTCACTTAGTCTACAGCCCCAATCCGTAAGCCTTACACCAACAGCGCCGGAGCACAGCACAACGAGCCAGGCCGACGCTGGCCCATGTCTGGCTTCTCAGATCAGAGGGCTCGGATGCATGCTGGTGGGGGGTTTAGGGTTTCAGGGGAAAGGGGTTTAGGGTTTCAGGTTTAGGGTTTAGGGTTTCGAGATTGGGATTGAGGATTTGGGGTTTTGGGCCGTTCTTCAGGCACGCTTAAGTCACTTACTAGCGAAGTGAAGGCACGTTAGATTTGCCGGGGAGCATTCGAAGGTATGGCAGCTCTAAGAATCCAAGAAAGGACGCCGCAATACGACCCCAAGATAGCAGGATCCTCGGTGACTTCGTCTCGTAAGATGGAATGTGGAATTTGCGCGAGGACCATGGTTAGCTACTGAATCTATGGGCGGTGAAAAAGGCGCCAGAAAACGAAAATCCTGAGAATACAGACGCTAGGCCAAACTCTTGAAAGATTTCTTGCCTCGACGAAGCCGACCCTCAAAAGCCAATCCCAGAAAATCCTAAAGCCCTAAACCCCTGAACCCCTGAACCCCTAAACCCTAAACCCCTAAACCCTCAGCCCTAAACCCTAAACCCCTGAGAAGACGCCGAGGACAAGACGTCTGTGGAAAAGCTGCGAGGGCTTTGCAGCGCTTGCCTCGGAGATCGGTTTCGGGTTTGGGGTTTAGGGTTAGGGGTTTAGGGAAACCGGTGGCTTTCGGATGCCTTAACGTTGCAACTCTAGGGTTGACATTTAATTCTAAGGGTTCCTGGGTCCTTGATGTTGGATGCAATTTTTTGCATTTTTGTTAGAATAAAACCCAAAAAGGATTGAACATGATCATTCTTGATATCGCCCAGGTTCAAGAAAGCATCAGAATGATGACCCATCTTCCACTCCTCGGGGCTTCTTCGTCTTAGTGTTTCTTGGTAATCCACACCTAAAAAAAATTCTGTTCGACTTACAGGGCGCCTCTTGTTAGGTAGTGGCAGAGGTTGTGGGCTTTCGATTGTGGTTTCCAACTTCTCTCTGCTTGAACCCCAAGAAACGGAGAGTTGAAGTTGCTCTCCTGGGCAAGCAAGCACAGGGCTTCGTCGATTCAGGTTTGCTATTTAGGGTTTAGGGTTTAGAGTTTGGGGTTAGAGTTTAGGCTTTAGGGGGGTTCTGTGGGCGGGCAGGCATTTTGTTAACACACTCGTAGAGTATTTTTAGCCGAGACAAGTGTAAGCCCTAATTCCCAAGCCATAAGTCCTAAGCACACTGAACCCTAAACTCGAGACCTTAACTCGCCTAGACCCTAAACCTCGCAAACTCGCAACCCTAATCTTATAACCCAAAGCACTAACTCTCCTAAACCCTGGATACTGCCCCCACTCAGTAACAGTTGAGTAGTATTCATAATACGGATATATAATAAGGCCCTTAATAGTTGCCCTATCATAGACTGTTACTGTATGGGGGCAGTACCCAACCTAACCCTAAACCCTAAGCCCAAAGCACTAACTCTCCTAAAGCCGAACCGACTACAAGCGCAGGTGCCCTCGCCAAAGATACGCACAGCCACTGCACTCGGCTCCAGATTCCTCCGAAACTCGTCGAGGTGTCGGCTTACGGTCTTTAGAGGTTGAGGGCCCTAAACCCTAAACCCCTAAACCCTAAACCCAAAAAACCCCTAAAGCCTACACCCCTGAAGCCCTAAAGCCCTAAACCCTAAACCCAAAAAACCCTAAAGCCTACACCCCTAAAGCCCTAAAGCCCTAAAGCCCTAAAGCCCTAAACCCTTGAGGGTTGAGGGCGTAGAGGATTAGGGCTTCGAGGTTCAGGGTTTCGGCTTTACGGGTTTTAGAGTCTTTAAGGGAATCATGCCCTGGGTTTAGGGTTCTGGGTCAAGGGAGTTTAGAGTTTAGGGCTTTTGAGGTTCAGAGCTTCTTTGGCTAAGCCGGATTCGCATTGTTCGGGCCTTTATAGTAAGTTCATTTACAGCAAGCTCTGAATCCGCAACGGAAAAGATCCCCCCGACCTAGCACTTTTTCTTTCAGACGAGTGTCAGAAAATTAGATTCGGAACGCCCGCTCAAACCTCCTGAAAGCCTTATACAAGCCCTACACCTCCTTGTAAGCAGCCCTTGCACCACAAACACCACCTGGAGAATTGGGAGGACTTAGTCAGTAGGGTCGCAAGTACCCTAGCCGGGGTTACACATAAGAGCAGCATTGGTTCCTTGCCTGTAAACCACACGATACTAAACAATGAACTCTGCACCCTGAACCCCTAAACCCACCCTAAACATTGTCCAGGGCAAGGGCGCCCAGTTGCTCTTCGAAAAGCTCGACGCAGTGCTCAAGCAGTACCCGGTGGGAGCTCGGAGATTGCAGTGATTGGAGAGTGTAGGGTTTAGGGCTTTGGGGTTTTGGGTTTAGGGTCCTGAGTTCAAGCTTTAGTGTTGAGGGGTTGCGGGTTTAGGGCCTAGGTTGAGGATTCATGGTTCCGGGCTGATGGTTTTCGGTCTTGGGTTTAGGGTTGAGGGTTTAGGGTTTAGGAATAGGAATTAGGGTTGAGGGTTGAGGCTTTGTGACTGTATTACGCCAGGTAAGTCGCCGGCGTTTTGAATGAAGCTCGGGGTTAAAGGGCAGCCTCAAGTAACACTGGGGTGTTTAGGGGTTTAGGGTTTGGGGTTTAGGGCTACATTCAATGCGCCCGACAACATAGTTAACCCTGAGCCAGGTGCATCGGACTTCGTCAGGGCTTTCGAAGTGATTTTCTGACGTTGCAGCGTGTAATGAAAATTTGCAACGCCTTGTAGACCCTCGGTAAAGAAATATCGAAACCGGGCTTTCTTGCTTGACTGCCCTGTTCCACGAAGTAGGACCCCGCTACATTGGGACTAATTATGTTTCGTGCCCATGGATGTGTGGATGTACGAAGTTGGGGGGCTTGGCCTACACCAGAAGCCAGGAACCCTAAGACCTGAGAAGAGAAAAAAAACAACTCGGAGCCCCAATCTCTGAGCCGGTTTCCTGTCGAGAAATCCAGTGAAGCTCTGGCTGATATCTTGAGTTGGTGAGAAAAATGCCCGTCTCCTCCGCCCCAAGCCCTTACTTACGTCTAGGGTTTAGGGTTTGTCCAGGATTTAGGATTTGGGTGTTGGGCTGTAGGGCTTATCGTAGAGGCCATATAACTGGAACATAGCACCGGATGGTATTCTGCTCGTTATGGGCTTCAGGGTAAGCAGCAAAGCTCCAACTTTGCAGTCTCTAGCTTCTACAAACCTGAACCCGCATCCCCAAACCCTAAACCACAAACCCTAAACTCGAAACCCTGAAAACCCTCTGAACCTTGCACCTGAAAGCCCAATAATGCCCATATGAGACCCCCTAACAAACATTCTACACATTGTACGAAACCTCTAGATCCTTTCCGTAAACTCCCTGAACCTTCTTTCAAACCTTAAACCCTAAATCTTTGTGTAAACGCCCTCAGACCTTCCCAGCTTCGGCACTCTGAAACCTTT